TGCCGAAAATTTGTTGACTTTAACCCTTTAGGGCCCACAATTATTTCAAGAAATGCACTGCATACGCGAGCCCGGGTACTTATTTGGTCGTAACTTTGGTGTCCTTTGGCCGATTTTGGTGATCTTGGGCTTTCTGGAAAGCTCTTGGCCAGAGGAACACAGCGATAGCCAGCAATACATCACTCGATCCACAGAACCAGCGCCGCAGCGCGATACGGCGCTCCAAAGCCAGCATTGCGAGCGCCCAACTCAAATTCTCTGCCATTTCAACAAATTGCATCGCAGATCGCTCAAATTTTTTTACTGGAGAGCTGAGAAACATGCCTTTGCGATGACGTGAACTATCTGTAGCTGCGTGGGCCGCGAGTCAGGGGAAACCCCTAAAAACGAGTTCAAAATGCACGCGCTCGAGTTGACTCTGCTGAGCGAATTTAGTTCGAGTCTCGTATCTCCGCTCTCCGAACTCGGATCGCTTTCGGGTTTTTTCGAGCCGACATCTGAGACAATTCTAATGTCGATAGCCCTTTCGATTGTCCGATTTGGTCAAGGGGCGGCCGAGTTACGCCAGGTTGCGCTTTGAAAAGTATGCACTGTACACTGGTACGGATATATCCGTACTATGGGCCTCAAAGGGTTAAATACAGTACATAATAAAAACTCGGATGTCGAGTCAATGATAGTATGGAAAGAGAAAAAGGACCTTTAAGTTACTAGTTATGACTAACAGTCCACCAAGGTAACGAGATAATAGACATGTACAGTCAGATAGTGCGACAACGAGGCACAAAACTGACAGGGATATTGAGACATTCGACGACCTGACTCCTAGCTCCAACACATCTACAAAGCGCAAACCAACAACCTTCCAACTTGGAAGGCTCAGGTGCGGAAGGTTACAGTGAGGGGAAGGGATGCGGGAAGATGCGCACGAGCTATGTCCATCGGCAACAAAGAAGATATGTTGGAGCTAGGTGTCAGGTTGTCGAATGTCTCAATATCCTTGTCAGTTTTGTGCCTCGTTGTCGCACTATCTGACCGTATATTATCTCGTTACCTTGGTGGACTGTTAGTCATAACTAGTAACTTAAACAATGTAGGTACTTTTCTCTTTACTTACAGTACACTGCAGACTGTAGAGCAATGAGAGCAGAAGACCTTGAGTCACCTACTTCCAAGTACAGTACATGTAAGTGTAGTTTCTAGGACACTGCCTGAGAGCAAAGCAGTGTGTTTAAAATGCCAGCTGTGAGCCAGGAGAACTATTATAATCGAATGAGAGCTAGTGGAAGCGACTTCGGAGATAGTTTTAATTAATTTTACAGAACGAGGGCTATGCTAACAACATACCTGCAACATCACCACCTTCAAGATCTGTCGTGTCGGAAATGATACGATACAGGGACGGTGTACCGCCGTCGTCCTCGCTGCTCTTGGCTTCGCTGAGCACGCGTTCGCTAACCCAGTACATGAGGGCAGAGCGTAGCGTCTTCTCACTGACCTCTAGCTCAGTACTCAGGTCAGATGCACTCCAACATACTGCAGGCATTGAACAATGCACACGCCATTAGCACAAAGCACAGGGTGAACTTAAGTGTAATTTAGAGTTACTTATAACCACATGACACACATGTGTGTGTGTGTGTGTGTGTGTGTGTGTGTGTGTATGTGTGTGCCAAAAATTTTCGCGGAGAGGAAGCAGATTTGTTAGCTCCTGGTTTTCTCTTTGTTGGCCTCCTCCACGGGGCGGCCTTGGCCTTCTGGTCAGGGTCGTCCCTGGGTATTGACTGGCAGTAGGCTTTTCATGCCTTGCAGCCGGTTTCGCTCGCGCGGAAGGGCATTCAGTGAGCTGACGACCAGGGCGGGTAATTTGTTGCCGTCACCGTCTTCTTGCGTCCTTTCCGCATCCTCCGCAGTGGCGTGGCGAGCCCTCGGATCAATCCCCAGCCTGAAACAATGCTGAGTGGCGTTCGGCAAAACAAGTGGATTCCTGGATGAAAAAGGATACAGGTCACACTCGCAACAATTTATTCCTGCGCGGTGATAGCTGGAATTGTGAATTTGTCGTGTTGTTTGGACCTGAGTGGCCAGTCGTCGTGCGGCGATGGTGTTGTGATGTTAGCTTGCTGCGCATACTCCTCGTCGTTTCGTGAAAGTACGTCTTGTGGAGCCCTTGTGGGACGTTCGGTGCCCACCCTCCAGCTCAAGATTGTGCTTTCCTGGTGCATGAAGGCCGAAGCAGTACAGACGTTATTGTTGAACAGAACATCATGTTCACATTAATATTGTTCCTTTCTTCAGTCGTTGCATGTTATAGTGGACCTACAGCAGACTGTTCATCTGGTTTGTGATATTTCCTTCCTCTGTTTGTGAGTCCCTTTCCATCAATATGGCAGCTTGTTTTGATTTCCTTTTTTTCAATTCATTTTGCTGTACTTTCTGTTTTGTTTGCGCCACTGCCCCTCACCTTGCGCTCAGTTCTCTGAGTGGAGGGCGGCGTGACCCCAAGGGGTAGCTGATTGATAGTAGTAGTAGTGTGTGTGTGTGTGTGTGAGTGTGTGTGTGTGTGTGTGAGCGTGTGTGTGTGTGTGTGAGCTGTGTGTGTGTGTGTGTGTGTGTGTGTGTGTGTGTGTGTGTGTGTGTGTGTGTGTGTGTGTGTGTGTGTGTGTGTGTGTGTGTGAGTGTGTGTATGGGGGGGGGGGGGGCTATTAGTACTCCCAGGTTAGATTATAACTCTTGTGTGATCAATGGTGCTAGAAAAGCCTATATCAGATCCACTCTAATTTAGCCACCCACACTAGTGTCAAGCATTACCTTCACCGGGCAGGGGTAAATGCAGTTGGATCCCGGGATGGATACCCTGATGCCGTGAATCCTTTTTCTGCACACTGTCCTTACCCACTTATTTCAGTGTGATGAGCCCTTAGAACGGTCATTAGTAAGGCCACCCAGGGGTCTCGGGATTTCAGGGGGTCGGCAGGTGGGCGGTTCAGTAGCAAATTGAGTCATCTTTCCAACATTCTTTTTCCCCTCCCGGGTATACCCACGTGACCAGTTTTGGCAGTGAGCAAGTACAGTACAGTACAGTACAGTGTGTGTGTGTGTGTGTGTGTGTGTGTGTGTGTGTGTGTGTGTGTGTGTGTGTGTGTGTGTGTGTGTGTGTGTGTGTGTGTGTGTGTGTGTGTGTGTGTGTGTGTGTGTGTGTGTGTGTGTGTGTGTGTGTGCCAGCTAGTTCGTTTGGTGGGTACACTTATGCCAGATAGTGTTGGGCCTGTTGCCAACGGGCTCGGCTGCTTGAAGGTGTATTGTTGTACCTACCACCTTTGTTGGTTTCAGGGTTCATATACTTTCTATTTGAAGTATACATACCTGTTAACCATGGACTACTTCTGGCAAGATAAACTCTTGTGTAATCAATGGTGCTAGTGAAGCTTTTATCAGATCCACTCTGATTTAGCCACCCACACTAGTACCAAGTATTACCTTCACTGGGGGCAGGGGTACCTGCAGTTGGATCCCGGGACGGATACCCCGATGCCGTCAATCCTTTTTCTGCACCTTGTCCTCACCCACTTACTGAGGTGTGGTGAGCCCATAAGTGGGATCATTTCAAGTCCACCCTAGTTTGGGGATTTCAGGGGGTGTCGGCCGTTGGGTGGTTCAATGGCCAATTGAGTCATCTTTCCAAGATTCCTTTTGAGTCTCTCTCCCCTCTCCCGGGGAGACCCACGTGACCAGTTTTGGCAGTGAGCAAGTACAAGTACAAGTACAAGTGTGTGTGTGTGTGTGTGTGTGTGTGTGTGTGTGTGTGTGTGTGTGTGTGTGTGTGTGGGTGTGTGTGTGTGTACAAGTTGCTATGTCTAACATAGCTGTTCGCTATCATCGCTTCCGCGATGGGCATGTCTGAGAGTCTGAGTGTGTGTATGTGTGTGTGTGGGGGGGGGGGGGAGGTTATGCTACTGATTTCTCAGGGGATTCCGCGCTTATGGGCACTGTGTAGCCGGCAGCGTGAGTCGCTAGCGCTAGTGCCAGTACAGCGTCGCTGTGGCGCGCCTTCGCCAAAGCATCTCAACTGATGATGTCACCGCGTAACCCCTATACCATACTCTATGGCGGTGTGCACAAACCGGGTGCCTGGACGGCGAGGTGTAAGCAAGTATGAGCTGCGATCATCGCGCTTTGTTGCAGTGTGCTCCAAAACATCTGCCACGAAAGTGGGGCGGCTGAGTCCGCCCCAGTCGCCCCGGCTGTGACGGCCTTGTTGATGGAGATCAGGGAGTCGTAAAATACCGTTATTTTACGACTCCCTGATGGAGATCTTACCACAACAGTGCAACCTTCATAACAGCACTCTATTACTACAACAGTGGCCTGGTACTAGTAACAGTGGTCTCAAGGGTATACACGCTATACACAGTAAATGTGGTCATGTGACCATGACATCATCGTTACAAATTGGCAGCATGCACATAGGTGTAGCGTCGTGTCATGATGTCATCACGAGGCCGCACGATGTCGTGAAAATGAAAATGAAATAACTCTGACCGTACTACGGAAGCCGTTTGTCAACTAAAATAATAATCAGCAAAAGCTAAGGACGGCATCAGCTCAAGTTACTACAAGTAATTTGAACACATACTTCTTCTCCAGTGCAGTGAACCACTCGATAGGCGGCCGTTGGGTGATACAAACAGTAAACATTATTACTATGTACAAGAGCTAACAGTGGGTATCTACTATTATTAGTAATAAACAAAACGGAGAAGATATTCCTGGCACGCCCTTTCTCAGAATCAGTTCAGGAGAATCACGAAACGGGGCAGTCACGTCATTGACCAACAGGTCTGGCGGGCTCAGTGCTCAGTTGCAGCTGCAGCCGGAGCGCGCACACGACAGCACGCTCCGCTCCCGTGGCATTTGCTATGCAGCAGATCACATCTTATCGCGAGCGTCCAGCGCCATCTTCAGCATCTGCACGAAGACGTCCTCGCTCTCTCTCTTCGAGGCGGCCTGCTTGGCGGAACCGATCTCCAGGAAGGGGCACGAAAGCCGCTTGGCGAGCTCAGAGCCCTGTCGCGGGGAGATCTGTGAGACCAGACGAAACGAAATATGCACACTCATGAAATTCCATGCACAGACGGGTATGTGACAGAAGGATTTACGATAAACATGTATCCTCCCCTCACCCCCCTCCCCCCTCCCCCTCCCTCTCCCCCCCCCCCCCCCAGGAAACACTGGCAACCAATTCAAATGTTTTAAACCTTATTTTACACAAAAACGTAATAAACCTGGTCTAGCGTGCATGACCACCAGGGGTGGCAATCAATCTCCTGCTTGCCTTCGGACAGTCACAAACGCTCCAAGCTCTCTGCTGCAGCTCAACATGCACCCCATGCACCCGCTCACCCCCCCCGGTACGGACACGTTCCCACGAAAATAAGAAAAATAAGAAATATTAACTGGTTAAAAAATAAGAAAAATGGCAAATGACTACTCTGTTATTCTTCCTTCGTGTCAACAATGTGATGCTATTCCAACTGATGATATAAATCACGAGAACTAGTTCTTGGAATTCACCCAACAACTTTGCCTTGATGTGTTATGTGTATAAAATGAGAGCAAAGCTGATCCTTTTTAATATAAAGTGTTTCTTACTATAAAGAAAAATAAAGAAAACTACAATAAACTCACCGCGACTTCTTCTTTGTGCGTAGTGGTTTCCTTGTTGGCCACTAGGATGATCGGGGCGGGGACGGGGAAGCCGTAGAAGCTGCGCACTCGCTCGCCGACCTCGCGAGCATCGTCGAAGGACGCCTTGTCATGCGGCGAGTACATGATGAGGAAGCACTCGCGGCTGCGCATCAGCTTCTCCAGCGGGCTGCCGACCAGCTGGCAGGACACGACAGTCTCAACGGAGTACGGTTTGCCTGTAGGCAAAGCGAGAGCACAAGCGCAGTTATTTATTTATTTATTCAATGCTGTAGACAGCAAGCTATTTCGGCCACAAAGGTCTCATCAGTGCAGCTACGAGCTAAGTAGGCCGAGCTACCAGCCATGGTGCAAAGGAGGCACCACAGACATTTTAAAAGATAGCTCGTCGCTCTAAATTTATTTATTCATTTATTTATTTATTCACAATCACGTGGCGCTAGCCAATGAAAAGGTGATGTGGACGATAGCCAGCCATGGTGGTGATTTTTTTTTTTTTTTTTTTGCTAGAGGGGAGAAAGAAAAACATGAAAGTGGACCTGAGAAGCGCGGGAGAGCGTGTAGGGCAGAGCTGGATACCCACTAGTATGCATACACACTGAATAATTATTGGATAAGCACAGCTACGCACTGAATTGGACAACACACAGTCCCCACATGCACGTAGCGTGCAGCACTGTCGGGCGCCGAAGAACGACCAGGCTAGAACTGCACCAAGCATAGCATACCAACGTATACACGGTGACTCAAGTGTGCATACCACATGTATATATACTAAGCTGTAGTATATGAAAATTAGGACGGTCCAGGTTACGTTCGCTAGCTTACCAGCATGGGCGAGGTCTTTTCGATGCGTCTCGGTCGCAGGCGATGCCGCTTTGTCGGACGCCGCGCAGACATCCCCGGCAAAGAGGCATGCCAGGGAGCGCTTGCCAACGCCGGCCGAGCCCAGGAGGCCGACGCGGATCTCCTCGCGGCTCGGCGCAATGTCGGAGCGGCGGGTGTGGCGCGTGGCGGTGGCGGCCGTGCTGCGCGAGCGCTTACGGAACGACAGGCGCGAGGTCTTCTTGCCCGCCGCCGTGGTCGGCGTGCGGCGCGGCGTGGAGACGGAACTGGATCGCGTGGACGTGGAACTCGTCGTGTGCACGCTACGCTTATGAGACACTGTTCCCCACTCGTCCTCCTTCTTGTTATACGTGTAGCGGCAGGTTTCCGAACCGCAGCTTCGAGACCACCACGACTGGCGGACGGCGTTCTGTTGACAAAGCCAGCAGAGAATCAAGCACATGCGCGTATACACACGCACACACGTGCACACACACACACATATACACACACACACACACACACACAAACACACACACACACACACACACACACACACATAAACGTACACATACCAAGTTACAATAATACTCATAAAAAGGACACACTTCAGGCTCATTACGAACATCTTGAAAAGATTTTGGTAAAACAGCGCAAAGAAGAAGATAGTTAAAGTAAACAGCGAAAATGCGTGACCTATGCACATAGCAATAATGACACAAAGGTGCAAGTGCGAACTTTCAAGATGTTCGTAATGAGCCTGAAGTGTGTACTTTTTATGAGTATTATCGCATTTTTGTTTCAGAGGAAACTGTAACCAAGTTACATGTATAAAAACGGTATGGTGACCGTGTTGAGTAACTGTCACGGATGCCTTTTCGCACGGCCAAAAAGAGCGCCACAAACTCTCCTACGCGGACTCTGCGCTTCACTGGCAGTGACATAAAACACATTGGGGCATTGAATACCGTACTGTCGCGTATAAAAGCAGGTGCTTACGGCCGTATAAGCCGATGTCAGTCCTTGGCTTCTATTCAAGTCAGGCTTCTATTCAAACCACGTATCTCTATGTATGTCAACACTAAACCAGGCTTATGTGTTGACAGTGTATCTTAAAAATCAGGCTTCTAAAGTTCTATTCAAAACAGGCTTTTATTCAAAACAGGCTTTTATTCAAAACAGGCTTTTATTCAAAACAGGCTTTAATTCAAAACAGGCTTCTATTCAAAACAGGCTTCTATACAAGACAGGCTTCTATACAAGACACTACAGTATGCGGAATACATGTGCAGAGCTGGTTTGCTAGTAACTGTCTCCCAGGTCTACCGACATTGTATCTTGAGTCTGTTGTCATGGTGCACAATGGCCGCCAACGTTGTACAATACTGGTACAATACAATAGCACAACAAATAGTTGTAGAAGTACACCGGAAAAAAAACATTTCAAAAAGCTGAAAATCCCTAGCCCCCTTCATGTGTATGACTGTTATGATGTCATGATCTATTAATTTTTTTGTTTTTGTTGAATAGTTTGCAGGCAACCTGCCTACACGACAAGAGAGCACTGCATTTCACACAAAGCATTTCACACAAATCCATTAGAAGTATCGTTTCAACGTTTCAGTCTTCATGACCATCATCAGGAATGAAGTGGACATGGAAAAAAACGGCAGCCTAATTTTGGTCACGTGTGATCCCGTACCGTACATGTTGCGCTCAGTTCTCTTGTCTCTTGACCGTGTTGTTTTCCTGGTCGCTTGAACTTTCCTTTTCCCGACTGCGAACGATGAACACACCAGTGATCCCACCATGGTGACGTGGGGTGAAGGTTGCGGTGCGTACAGGCACTACCGCCCCTACTCGAGCCGGGCCGGCACGGGTAACGTTTTAAAAAAAAAAACACGAGAGACAGATTCCAACTTACGGGCGAGGAGAAGTCATCGTCCAACTTCTTGGGTGCTTCAGCGTCCTTCTCCTTCTTTGTACCGCCTTTCTTCTCCTCCACCTCCTCCTCTTCTTCTTCCTCTTCCTTTGTTTCCTCGGTGTCCTTATGGAGTTCTTCAAACACCTGAACGTACACAATGGGACAAAATCCACGAAATGTCAACCATCATTTCTACATTGAGGTGAAGCCCCCCGTTCATTCAAGAATTTCGGCCCCCCCAGGGTTAAAACACATATCGACTGCATTAAAATTTCGGCCTGTACTGCCGCTGCCTGTATAGTACGGGGGCCAGGCATCAAAAAAGTGGCTGAAAAAAACTTTCGTTTCCACTTCGTCCGCACAACAATTTGACTGCAGATAATGAAAGCAGTGGCCTTCCTGACACGGAATCAACAAAAAATTGCTTCAAAATGCGAATGGAAGGCCTCCATCGAGTAACTTTTCTCGCACCTGTTCAGCCATTGCCGCTTGTCTCTTGCGCTGAGTTTCTTCTCCGCGCGAGCAGTCACGCAACGGTAAGTTTTCCTCACGGGACTGTCCCGTCCATTGTACGGCGAACTGAGCATAGTCTGCGCTGCGCGAAACACGCATACAGAGTCTAGTCTCACACCTCACGTGCTCAGCGGTCCACGTGGAGTGTCAAGTTTCAAAAGTGAACTCGGATGTGTCGATTCACGTACTACTACTGCGCTTCTTCTCCGTTTTTGCCTTTTTGTACTCTCACGCATAATAGTAAGTAGTTTGTTTTCGGGTGGTGAGGTTCTGGAAAGTCGATGTCACAGGCAGATTGTCCCCAGCGGACAACTCGGCAAAGTCTATCTGTACCAGTTGTAGAGCCAGGGCGAAAGGAGTGCATATTCTGTCAGAAATTTCAGCTGGGAAAGAAGCACAAGTATCAGAAAACTTCGCAGTGCCAGTCACACAACGCTGCCCAGAAAGTGCTAGACGCAGCTAAGTTGCGGAGAGACGAGGCTATTGTAATAGCTATTGGTTCTCAGTCTTGCCTCATAGCACGTGAAGTTCACTACCATTGGCACTGCTTCCGAGAGTACACCAGACTATTGGAGGTCGAGGATCCTGGGGACGACCCTCAGGGAATTGGTGGACAGGCTCCTTCGGAGGAACAAGTAGTTGCCCAGTTTCTTGAGGTCGTGCGTCAAGAATTGTTTGACAATTCTGCACTGCTGACCTCTGCTGATCTCCAGTCCATCTTCCAGACCTGCTGTAACAAGGAAAGTGGCAACTTCTGCACTCAGGTCAGAAATCGAAAACTGAAGAGCATCATTTTGAAAGAGTTTGATGGCCAGCTCGCTGCAACGCCCCTGAATTGTTGTGTGCTGTTAGCTCGACTGACAACTTTATCAGACAGTTTGCACTGCTGAAGGAGGAAGTTGCAGAAGATGAACCCCTAATGCCCGCCGATCCTTATTGCAGTGAGTCTGGGGAGGAGTCTGAGGATGAGTCTGCCAAAGTGGAGAGTAGCCATGTCTGGACCAATGAGTGTGAGGAATGGAGAGTCTTATATCATGCAGCAAACATCCTCCGCCAATCCATCGAGCACCATGTCAAGTCCACGAAGCAAGAACTGAGCGGTGCACGGCTGTCTCCTGAGGATAGCGCGCGATTGATTCCTGACAAGCTCTTTAATTTTCTTGCATGGACCCTGGACAAGGATGCCGAATTCCCGACGTGCCGCTTGCCGTCTCTTGAGAGTGTTCTGCAACGCCGTATCCATGCCATCTGCCAGGATCTTATCGGTTTTGCGGCACTGGTTACCGCACTCCGAAACACATTGTGCTGGGCATGGCAATCCATCACCTGTGCCGCAGTAAGCAGATAGTTACCATGTTGAATCGTCTTGGCTATTGCTGTAGCTACAGCCAGGTACTGGAGCTGGAGACTTGCTTGGCAGAGTCTTTTACACGCCATCAGCACAATCAGTCTTTCTTGCCTGCCGCCATCGACACTCGCAAGCCGTACCATTTCGTGTGAGATAACAATGACCCTTGCGAGGAGACACTGAGCGGACTTGCGACTACGCACTGTACAAATGGTATCGTTGTACAGCCTTCTCTGCAGGATGAATCGGTAGCAAGTGAAGCGACTTCCATCTCTCTGCCTACACTGTCAACGTCGAAGCGAAAGCGCTCATTGACAATGGTCCCGGAGATTCAGCCTGTGTTTGCAATGCCTGCAAGACAAAATCCACCTCCCATCATACGCCTATGCTGCTGACACCCGCTCTGGTGCTGCATTGATGGACTTTGTCTGGAAGCTCTCCCGGTTCTGCCCAGATGGACAGATCAGCAAGCCTCGTGCAGTCATTGAGATTGGAGCTGCAGCTGATGGCAAGTCTCAGAGCATACCCGCGTGGACAGCATTCAATTATCTCGCGACGAAGAACAATGTGCCTTCTAAGTCGGAGATTGGTTACTGTCCGGTGATCAATGCATCGCCAATATAGAACCTCACTGTCTATACCCTACTATGCCGCTCCATTACTATGGCAAGGCAGGCTGATCTTCCATTCACGATGGTAGTTCTGGATCAAGCAATTTATGCCAAGGCTGTCGACATCGTGTTGCAGAGACCCCAAGAATTCCGCTCTGTGGTTCTCCGGAGTCGACTTGAAGTCAAACTTGATGACAGCATCTGTAATGTCCATGCTCTTGTACACATTATTATCGATGAAATATATTATGTCATGTTCTTGTGGGCCATCGAAACTGGCCTTCTGTCTACTTTAATGCGCATGCCTGCTGGAATCGTAACCAATGTGCATGTACAGTGCGTATCGGTTATAGCGTGGTCGTGTAAAAGAATATACTGCATACAAGAATGAACCCTCATGTTTTCATAATCATAACATGGATTTCAAGTGCACATTTATTCTTACAAGCAATTTTATCCCATAGTAGAATATATCGGTCCTAAGAATGGACTTTGTGTAGCGAAACATGCCAATTAGTACAAAGTGTATCGCCTGTAGTAATAACATCTGTCCAATTCCGTTCTGATGTGACTCTCGTTGCGTCGTAGTGCTGCAGATTCAACTGTTGTGGCCATGTAACTCAATTTTTGCATAGCCACATGTAAGCTTATGGGACTATGACCAGCCACATGCACAGAAGTACTGTGTTGCATGTACGATGATCTTCCTGCCCCTGCGGACATGCATATGATATGCCACACTTGATTTATCATGTGTAAGAAATATCGGAAATAAGAATAGAAAGTCGTTTTTCAAAAACCCACGCTATAACCGATACCTACTGTACATGCTTTGAACATACTTATGACTGACTTCCTGTGCTGGAAGGCATGATTGTACATGTACAAGTACCCTGTGGAATAAAGTATGCTTTATCTCTGCGTGTGGTGAAATAGTCAGCTGCTTCCTTCATGCCAGTACACTGTATTCTGATTTGATACATATAATGTACACAATGCTGTAGTACATGTACATGTACATGACTCTATAATTATGACTATTCGCATTGATACAATAGAGTGCACGATGTGCATGATACTCCATGTACATGTATGTTTTACTAATAGCAGTGCCAGTCGACACGAATACATACATAGTATGTACCCCTCAACAAATTTGGAGCTTCTGTGGAAGAAAATAACATGAAAAACACGCTGTTGCCATACTGTTGCTATGCAGTTGCCATGGCAACCCATGGGAAACTTTCAAATGCCAATTCCACACCGTTCCATCCCGATTCCAGGGGTGAAAAATATATCAGGGGACTCTACACGACTAGGGCTACAAGATGAAGTACATATTTTGTTGTGCGCTCTCAGTGGAAACGAAACTTCACATTTCTCAACCCTGGCCCCCGTACTAGTACTAAATATTGTCACGTTGAAACTCGGAAAACATTTTGGCTGGAACAAATTTTCGGCCAGAAATGCCCGGGGCCGAAAATAGCTGAAAATAGATATGCGCCGAATAGAATATTCGTTGACTTTTAAAACACAGTAACCACAGTGCATGACTCCACTATTCACCCCAGTGTCTGGAAATATGTGGATTTTGTAGAAAAAAAGTCGGATATGTTCCTAACAAGTCACTGTGCCACAGGAGCGTGTGCATAGTATACCGACCTTGCCGAGTTCTTCGGTCATGCGCCCCTCCATCTCCACCTCCAGCTGGTATGCCTGCAGCTGCTGGGGGCACGACGCGCCGTAACACACGGCCAGAAACATGTCGGTGATCAGGGAGAAGTTGGCGAACTTCAGGTACTTTCCCCCGGTGACGCGTGCCAGCTCCTTGTAGAACGGAATGCTCTGCGTTTGGTTCAGCGCCTGTCGACGGGGGAGACAACGTAAAAGACAAAGAAAAGGTAGGAAATGTCAAAACGGGTATATAAAGTACACACACACACACACACGCACACACACACGCACACACACACACACACACACACACACACACACACACACACACACACACACACACACACACACACACACACACACTCCTTTAATATAGTCTGTCTCATTTTGCCCTGAGATGTTTTGATGCATAGTGGTTATGACGCTCATCATTCGCTCCCTTGTCACCGGACAGTTCTGTCCGTTTGATTTTAGCGAATTCAAATAAAGAACTTAGTCAGTGAGTGAGTCGTGAGTCAGTCAAGTGTCAAGTTCGGCAAGAAGCGTGTGCTCCTCGTTGGAGCAACCAACTTCAAATAAAGAAAACAACAAAACAACAACACACACACGCAAGATCCAGTGGAACTGAGAAAACCAGTACCGTCTCCACTCAGAGTTTCATGCTGTTACATAATCATCGGGGACTATGCGTAAGTACATGCATTGACTACGGCAGAGATAATACTACAAAACCTGTCGAGGCGATGTACCATTGCCTCACCTGCACGCCGTAGACTTTGACGCCCATGTCCTTGAGGGTCAGCAGCTCCTGGCGCCACGAGATGTCTTGGTCAGTGTAACCGGCGGGATGAGGCAGAGCGTCGCCAATCACCACCAGCGCCTTGGCCGAGTTGGGTCGCCACGACAACGTCTGTGCTTTCACCAACACCCACTCGTAGCACTGCAGTTGTGGGGGGGGGGGGGTGGAGAGAGGGAGAGAGGGGGGAGAGAGAGAGAGAGAGAGAGACAGAGAGAGAGAGAGAGAGAGACAGAGAGAGAGAGAGAGAGAGAGAGAGAGAGAGACACACACACACACACACACACAGAACGGAATCAAAAAGACATATGGTGCATGGTAAGCCGGTTGCCTCAAGACTTGATGCAGGGCCACAGCAGAGTTCAGTTTGCTCTACAATAGCCACGTTACAATGCAGGCTCATAGAGTATTGTTCACATATGTGTCATGTGACTTAATTTGTGTAGAAAGGGATCATGGCATGTACAGTCAACATGGCCGACATCATGTGACCCACAGATGCGGGACATGAGTGGAGTCGGAACCAACATGGCTGCTGCCGCGTGCATCGTCATCTGGTAGATCTGCAACAGCTGTACATGACGTATATCCCTGTCCAGACACACTACGCAGTGCTCCTCCAAGACGTACCGGTACGAGTACAATGTAGCTATGCACACGGACATGACCGCCGGAAGCAGTCCCTGATTGGTTTGGTCATCCCACACTGCCCATACCATAGTTTTTTTTTCATACAGCGGTTTGTCAGAGATATACTGTACATGTAGCGGGTACACATGCCCTGCTGGTCAGTAAGCAAGCATTGGTGCGGGTCATCAACGTTCCGGGTCCGGTGATGACCCCGCACCAACTGGACCGGTTC